TGGTAAAATCATGGTTCCACCAAACTAACCCTTTATCATTATCTCTTGGAGCCTATGGAAAGTTTAGCATATTCTAGATTGATCTATGCCGAAGTGCCTTTCATAAATTACTACATGGAGAATAACAGGAGAAAAAGCAGTCTTAATTGGCACAATTGATGTCTAAATTAAGATGTGAACATATATTGAAACATTATTTTTTAAGCTTTAAAATGAATGGTTCTGTGTTGCTGGAATGTGGCCTTTCCCCCCCTCTCCCCCGCAAAGAGTTTCAGAGCCAATAGAATCTATAAATAGTGCAGGCCGGTTGTCTGTGGTAGATTGAGGAGAGCAGAATCGCCTGTCCTTAAGTGAAGGGGAAGTAGCTTTTTACATTTTTAGTAACTGAATTGTTGGCCAGCATAAAGGTAAGGGCCATGTGAGCAACTTATTTATAACTTTCCATAAAGGTATGTGTCTGCCTCAAGCAGAGAAACTGTCTGGGGTGCTTGAAATGTAAAAGTGCAGTAGAATCATTTTCCATACACAGCCTTTCTAGCTAGTTGGTACAGTAAAGTGATTGTTCACATCCCTGGGGCTTTCAGAAAGAGGGGTGTTGATAGATTAGCTTATTAGCGTCGCCTCCTATGGAATAGAAGGGACTGAGGCCGTTAAATGTGAGAATCTGTGGTTTTATGTAGTGAAAAATGTTCAGATCCAATTCCCGAGGGTATTCAGGACATATAGTTAAGCTTGGTTTAACCCCTTGGGTGTGGTCCCACCTGTTCTACCCATGTGGTCTACCCACAATTAGGTTCTTGTCAAAATATTTCATGGGTATAAAAGCACTTTATTTTTTTCACAGGTTTAGTTCAACTATAAGTAGTTTTTTTTTTTTTTTAAATAAAAAACATAGACTGAATTATCTGATAACAGTGGGAGAAGGGAAGAAGTATAAAACATTTTCATGGCATCCTGTAAAGAGTATGTTAAACCCTTTTGGTAGATGCCAGAAAATGGAATCCATTGTTATGTGTTAATTAATGTCATCACTCACATCAAGAGTATATCACTTAGAGCCAGGTTTAACTCTAAGGATGAAATTTTTATAATCATAAATACCCAAGTAAAATGTTTTTGGCCCTCCTTTGTTACTCATTGACTATTTTCAGAGACTTGAGTTTTTCTGAATATTCTGTTGACCATTTAAAGGATCTGCATATATGGCTAAAATGTAAACTTTGGCTTTTGTGCCAATATTGTGGCTTTGTTTAGTATTTGGGCAAGTTGTAATAAGTGGTAAATGGCTCATTAACTATATTGGAGGCCTCATCGCAGCACTAATTTCAAATCGTGCTGCGTTTACAATTTACATATTAAAAAACATTCACTTGATTTCGTTCAGGGACAAAGCTGACATCCTATATAAGCATTACTCCACACAATCCTATTTATTGGTCCAATTATTTCAATTGAAAGATGCTGGTTTACTGCCTCTTAGTCTATGTGAACAATTCTCAGTGAAACTGTTAGAGATCAGTTGGACAGTAGTGGCAGAATAACCTCACAGGGTTTCGATTCACTTTTAATTTTAAGTCCCAGGATTAAGGATCATTTATAGTATAATGTAACAGTGCAGGCAAATATAGTTTCCCTTAATGCCTTTCTGATATTTTGGGGAAAGAATGCTTTTATGTAAAGCATTCACTTATGAATTGCATGACTGCCTTTTCTCACTATAAATTTCATTCACATTTCCTTCCTTCTCCCACGTCCTTAAGAGACAGGACAGCATGCAGTGTTTTTGCTTCGTTTTATTATTTAAAAATTTTTTTGAGATGTGGTTTAAGGTAGTTCTTCAGGATAGATGTCAAGGTAACTAGTTAATACTGTTTGAAAATCAGGCTCTTAATTAAAAATGCTTAATTTGTGCAAGAAAACTACATGTTAAAATGAATTTGGAAAGATTAGATTGGAATTGCCTCAAATTCAATTAAGCCACACTGCATGGACGTGCTGGGAATATCAATACAATCACTGTAAATTTTGTACAAACTGATTTGTTGCATTATCTTGCTCATCTAACATACGGTACTTTTTGTGTCCATATTGCAGACGGCAACTCCAAACTAACATGGCAGTCAGACTGTGTGATGTGGCTTCTCTGCTTAGAAGTGGTTCGTGGGCAGCAGAGCCTTGGACTGGGGTCTGTGGGATTTTTCTTAAATTCTGTAGGCTACTTTTTTTTTTAGCATGTTGCAGGAGTGCTGAGGCCATACCAAACACTTGAACTTTTCATTGGGCATACTAATTATTCTTACGTTTAACCTATTGCGGTATGGCCATCATTAGGACTTAAAGCACATTGCAATTTTAACCATAGTGGTCTATGTAGCATCAGAACCATGCTTTTGTATGTAACTTTTTATAATCTGAATTAGGATTTAGTGCAGACTCAAAACAGTGACAAGCTTTTTTTTAAAAAAAACAAAAAAGTTTTGGTATGGTCTGAATACTAAGTTACCGTAATTCTTTACATTCTGTTTACTATGTATTTTTTTGGTTACTAAATTTTGAAGTTATTTACAATTCCTGATGCTCAAAAAAAAAAATTTTGTTGAAATTGTGAAACTGGCTGAAAATTATTTGCCCAGTAACTGTTGAAAGAGTTTGCATTCTGTGAACAGTTGTGTTGAGCCTATCAATGGAATATGCATTATTTGTAAAATATAGCACATTAGTATCATTTTATTCTGAGCAGATGGTCCTATAGCTGAGAGATGCTGTAATTTTCAGCACACACAGCTTACTGCAGCTGTTCACTTGAATGTTGGCTTAGGAGCTCATTCTTGCCACCTGAACATGGAAATAAATGTGCAATTAAGTGAGGAGTGTTTGTTGTCCTTGCTAAATCCTGCTAATTTCAGTCAGTGAACACTTTATATTTCACATGCCATCCCAATGAGTTAAATCCATATCTCTTATTTGGGGTTCATATAGTTTCTACACATGCCCTAACTTTGGAATAGTGATTTGTTTTAATTGGCCTTGGCCACTCTCATCTTGCCACTTATTGTTTTCAGAAATGCTGGGCAAAGGTTAATCCCATAAAAGTTTTGCGTGGAAAATGACCCACAGCTAATATTCTACAGACTGGAACAGTTATGCTTTATTAGGAAATTTGAAAATTCCTTTCTCAGTTTCAGATAAATTTGTTAATTATAATAAAATGCATGTCTTGAATTGTTTCAATTTTTTTCCTTGCAGATTTCTAAAGATTTCTTTATTTTACCTTGCTCCTTTTAAGTGTTCTCTAAGAACACTTACCCAAGAGAGGTAGCATGCAGCTTTTAGGAAAAAAAATACCCATTTCTTTGAAATGCAGTCATGGAGGGTTATAGGTTGTTTGATATTTGATAAGTAGTTTGGATTTTGTCTATTTTTTTTAATCACGATAGCACGGATTCTTGCCAGTCTGACCAGTCTCAATCTATCCTATGCTGCCGCCTTTTATAAACATCTCTTGGCAGTAGAGATTTCTTCCTGTATGCTTATCCACTGTTGTGCCCTTTTATTTTTCTTAGGCAATATGCTTTTTAAAAGACTTTTTTCTCTTGTAACACTCTTTCCCTCTACTTTGCTTTTTAAAAATTTTGCCTCAAATTCTTTGCCTTTTATATGTTAGAGAACTTCCCTAAAACTAGCATTCCATCAATTCAGAATTGTCAGTTTTGAGAAGTAGTTCTTTATGGAGATGAGAGCTGTATTGAATGAAATATGAAGGATAATTTGTTCAGTGATGCTTTGATTTTTGGATTCCCCCACAATCTTGGCTGTCCAAATATATAGCTATCGGAAGATGGTTTTTCGAAAATTTGGGGCTGTGGTTTGTGACTCTTTTGCTCAAAGGGCGTAGCATTGATTTTTAGGAAACTAGATCCAAATTTGCTTAATAAGTAGGTTTTCAGAGTAGCCTGAACAGTTTGAGGCCATTTTCCCCAAATCTGCTATTTATCCCGTATTTGGAGTTTATAGGTACCTTATTACTTGCATTTCAACAGGCTTATGTGCTCAAATGAAAATTCCTTGGGCTGGTCTGTTTCCAAAAGTTGAAATATTTATGTAGTTGTTTTGGTGAACTGGATAAGTTTTTGTTTTGGGTTTGTTTTTTTTTTCCCATTTAAAGTTAGAATCAAGGCAAAATGCCATTTTGAATTGTTTGGGGATTCTATTTTGATGCTGTAGATCAGTCGCCTTGTTGGTGATCTTTAGCTGCCAAGGATGACAAGAATGGCTTGTTAGATTCTACAAGGTACACTAAGTACTCATAGCTTCTTTTCCAAGTTATCCTACAAATCCTTTTCATGCCCTAACATTTGACATCTGATATTTTTCTTATTTCTTACCAACAGAAGAGGTATAAGATATTGTCAATCAAAAACATTTTCAATATGTAACCAAAACAGTACATGTTGACAAATTTATATTTTTTAAAGTACTCTTGCTCCTTGATTTTAAGTTAATGGATGTCTGTCAGTTTTAGGATGTCTGTTTAGTTTTCTTAGGCTAACTGAAAATCTCTTCAGAGTTAGGAAGACCATTTTTTTGGTTTGTCTTTTTGGTAGCATGTTAAGCACTTCTGTTTTGTGGTATGATTTTAGTCAGGGTTTAATTCGGTGCCCTTTGGTACTAGATTTCCTCGAGTCTTTGGACACTGCAGGTGAGTAAGGGTATGTGAATAGACCCCAAAATGCGGTTCTAGAGAATGTTTAACATTTACAGTGTGCTTATTTATGTGCATGTATGGAAATATGTATGTGAAAGTATAATTGTGAACTTAAATTGACTAGCTTAATGTATGAAGTATAAATTAACGTAGGTGTTGCACTTTTTGTTGAAGCTTTATTGTAATTTCAGCAGAACGACTCGTATTTAGTGACAAGTATTTACATTCTTGGTTGGAATCTCTAACAGTTTGTGAAATAATGAATTCTGACATTTCTTGTTTTCTCTGTTTTTAGCAGGTAATTGCTGCCATGGAAACACAACTATCTAATGGGCCAACTTGCAATAACACAGCCAATGGTCCAACCACCATAAACAACAACTGCTCTTCGCCAGTTGACTCTGGGAACACAGAGGACAGCAAGACCAACTTAATAGTCAACTACCTTCCTCAGAACATGACACAGGAGGAACTAAAGAGTCTCTTTGGGAGCATCGGTGAGATAGAGTCCTGTAAGCTTGTAAGGGACAAAATAACAGGTATGCAGTTTTATACAGGTTACTCACCTTTAAAGGACTGTGTGTCACGGTGTGAGAAAATAGTAAGTTTACTGCCTGTAGATCGTTCAGTGCTGCAGTTTTACCCATCTAGGTGTTCTCTCTGTTACTGAATACATCAGCAGCACGAAACTTAGTTTTAAGAGTTTTGTTTTCCTTTTAAAGCATAAAATATTTTTATGGGCAGTATATATTATAACTAGACTTTTATATACCCTGTAGTGTACAATAATATCTCTGAAAAGGGTTTTAGAAGTCTATGTATGTCTGGGACAGAAAGTGTCATGTTGACCTTTAGTTTTTAGTTCCCTGTGCTTATGTGATTTAGCATTTTAACAATGAGATATAAGAAGCATATTCTGTTTGGGAGAAGAAGAAAGCTCTTAAAATGTCTCTTCCTTGAAGTCTGTATAGTTCTGTTTATAATGTATATGACAGAGTAAATAGTAATATTCACATTGTCAATGTGTAAATACTTGCACTGATATCATTTGAATGTAGGAAGATCTTATGTTCTGTTCCTTGACAAGGAAAGGAGAAAGTGGTGTATGAGTGTTCCTCTTATCATAAAGATAAAAATGAAAGGATGGGTAATTTGACCTTTGATACTACATTTCGAATATTGGGTAGTGGAAAATATCCTTAGTATTTTGTAAGATTCAACTAAATATTTAGAATAAGCCAAAACCTAATTGAGCATGTTCTTGGGATACAAGGGTTAATGTTTCCCGTAGGAGTTGTTCTCAAACACTGAAAATATATGAAGTTAAGTGTAGGAAGACTGACTTTCTCATGTTATTGTTAAGTATGAGTGATGTATATTAAATTGCTTTACATGGCTTATAACTCAAACTATAAAAACTAAATATTTGAAATGGGCAAATACCTAAAGGCATTGAGAAGAGTTTGACCAAGAATCTGAACTTCAGTCCTATGACCTTGGACAAGTCAGGTCTTGGCTTCAGGTCTTCCTTGGTAAAATGAGGTAGAGGGCAAAGAAAAGGGTCACACTAGGTGATTTCTGCAATCATTTTTACTTTATTTGAGATAGTATCTTTAGCTGTTCTTTTATCAAGACAGCAGGGCTTACTGCCTCCAAGGTGAGTGAGTGCATTCTTAGAGCTATCACCTCAGCTTGGCTTCACAATCCTGATTCCTTGAGCTACAAATTGAAGCTCACAGAGAGAACATACTTAAATCAAGTAAAAACTAAGTAAAACATAGTTGTCATCAATCCATACTGAATAATTACATTTTAACTAGTTATGTTACTTAGATATTCACCACAATATCATCAGGAAGATTTTTTTTTATACTGATAATCAAATGGAGAATATTTTTCCATTTCTTTTTCCAAAATCGGTGTCAGCATATGTAAAATTTATAGACAGTTTTTGAGAAATTGAAAAATGTCGAGAACAGATGGCTCTTAATACATTTGTCCTGACACTAAAATTTTATTACTACCTTTTTAGCAAAACCGCTTCTTCATATGTGAGTTTTGCAACCTCTTTGACATAAATGACTGTGTGATAAATGGTATAAAGGCCATGACATCAATGATGTGATTTCTGGTTTGATTGCTTAGTAACTGTCTCTACCATAAAAAAAAAAGATACTTGAACTAGATATATAAATGTTGAATTTTTTTGTTATGATACTGTGAGTAGATAAAAATATGAAGCAAATCTTACATCCTTTGTATTAGGCATCTTCCACAGAAAACATTTCAAAGATTTTTATCTTTCATCTCTGGTTGATCTTGAATTATCTTATTCTTTCATAAGTCTTTTACTAGAGCTGTTTTATGGTGCAATAAATTTGAATTCTGTGTCTTCATACCTTTTGCCTCCCTGTCTTTAGTGTGATAAACAGTGGGGTAATGGAACCACAGTGCATGGTAATCTGAAGTATATGGTTAGATACTGGCAAAGTGCATTAATATTTGCTGTCCATTTCCTTTATCCCCCACCATTGTCTTTTCAGCGAGAGGGAGCCAATGAAGTTTCCCACCATGGTAAAATTTCTGTTTAAAACCTCTGGTAAGCAAATGGAGTACCAAGAAAATCCACAGTGGGCAGGAGGGTCAAAAGATGTTTTCTAAGCTTCATTCCAAGAGACACAGTCATACTTCTTCTTTAGAGTAAATGTTCCATTGACAGGCAAGTTTGAGAAATGCTGCCCTTCATAGTTTCCTATTTAAGAGCCAAACTGCAGGTCGTTAGCATATTAGAAACCATACATTAAAATCCTGCAGTAAAGAAACCGGTTTTCTGGCCTTATTTGACCACAGAACTCATTTTGGGGATATCTCCCCAATACTAGATTTCTTTCTTTCTTTCTTTTTTTTTTTTAAGATTTTTTTTTATTTGACAGAGACAGCGAGAGAGGACACACGAGCAGGGGGAATGGGAGAGGGAGAAGCAGGCTTCCCGCCGAGCAGGGAGCCCGATGCGGGGCTCGATCCCAGGACCCTGGGATCATGACCTGAGCCGAAGGCAGACGCCTAACGACTGAGCCACCCAGGTGCCCCTCCAATACTAGATTTCCACTGAGCATATAAAAGCTTATGCTATGAAAGCTTTTGAAACCATTTAACAGATTATCAGACACTCCTAAACTCTTCTGTAACCTGTTTATATCAAAGTATGAGCATGTTTCGTAAATGAACATCCATGATAATGAACTATGTATTATAAAAAAGTGAGTAGGTAAATAAGAATACAGAGGACCTCTTCTAGTAACCTTGTTTTGACATAGTCCGCTGACATCTTATTCTTAGTATGGGTTAAAATGGTGTTCAGAGGGTCTGACTTAGTTTCAAAGCATAAATTTAAATATATATTTTTTTAAATTGAGTTTCTTAGTGAATATTTGTATTGAACAAAATATTATAGTAAATGGTAGATTTCCAAAACTGGATTTTGAATAGTTGTACTTTGCCAAGTGGGCATATCTTCCTAAGAAGCTACTATTAACATATCTAGAAAGATTGAATTTGTGAGGATTTGGACCCCGCCCTGTGGTGTTTAGCATTAGCCAGTTTATGTGGTTTCTCAGTTCACATTTGTAGGGTCAAGTCTGAGTTCCTTGGTCTAATTATCCAATTTATCCTACTGCCTGGGGAGCTACCAGGCCAGCTCTTTGTATTCTGATTTTGTAGGAAGTGAGCATTAATTTTCTCGGTTATAAGAAAACTATGAGATTACTCTTTGGGAAGAACATTTAAATTGCTCTTTTTCATTTTTCTTAAATCTTTCCCTGCTTAAATAATGCCGAATTAGGAAACTGTATCTCAGGTAAAAAAAAAAAAAAAAAATCTAGTTAGGAAAGTATGTGCCTCTTTCTGAAGTCCTGAAAGAGAGTATATAATTTTTAGATTGTGTTGTTGTTGGCAAATTAATGTCACTATTTTGATAGAATGAAGATTAGAGAAATACGTTAAGACACCTCTTCAGTAGTAAATATAGTAACCTTCTCTTTGGCCTAAATTCTATTTATTATGTTGTTTTTCAGGCCCTTTCTTTGGGCTCATGCCCAGCTTTATGCTTCATCCCATTTCCTGTCTATAGACATTCATCATGAGAAGCTACTGCTGCTTGTACAGTTCAGCTGATGTCGGTCCATCTCTTTGAGTTTATGCATTTTAGAGTCCTTGACACCTGCTGATGCTGCATTCTAGAGGAGTGAAATGGATTTTATGATGCAAGGAATGAGTAATAGAATGTTAGAATCAGAAACGTCCTTGAGGTGATCTTGGCCAACTCCCTCACTTAACAGGTGATCTGAAGCTCAGGTTTGTTTAAATGACTGAATAGTCCAAGACCACATAGCTGTCAAGTGGTAGAGCAGGGACCAGAATTCTGGTTTTCTGCTTCTTCCCTGGGATATTTCCTCCTTGCCGCTTGTTAGAGGCCAGAACTCTTTAAAAATTAACCCAGGACCAACTGATGAATTTGTAGTGAGACAGATAACTTGTACAGATCCACTGAGGGGCGTCTTTTGGTGGGTGTGTCTTCAGAAGGGGAATGAGAGTTTTGAGAGTCAAGGACCGACGGATACATGAAATGAAGGAGAACATCCCCGCCTCTCTACAAACTTTGTAGCCTGTAGTTGTGAATTTGGATATTCTAGCTCAGTGATTGCTAAATCTGGCTGCCCATCCTCATGTGAAGGAGTTTTTAAAAATATAGATTCTGGAGGCTTTGGAAATCTGTTGTCAGAAAGCTCCCCAGGTGATTTTGAGGAGCAAGCAAGCAGTTTTGGGAATCAGCCTTTTGAGGTATAGTCAGTGGAGTTGCCTGCATTGGAATCACTTGGGATGACCACCAGAAATGCAGCTCTCTGGGCCTTGCCCAGACCTAATGAATCAGAGTCTTTGAAGTAGGGCCCAGAATATTCCGTTTGCCTGGGAGTTATCCACTACTTTTCCTGAACATTTTGCAGGGAGATAGAACCAGAATATTCCAGGTTTACCTGAACTCTGGCTGGAGATGGGTGGGAGAGTTGTTAGGAGTTCAGTGCCTGATCTATGGCAAACTGAGTTTCAGGGGCTGTCCCCTCCCCAGCGGTGGTTTCTGATGGGTTAACTCCTGGGGTGCAGGACTAGAGATGTTTAGTCGTTAGGCTCTGTCTTTATTGAACACCTGACCTGTCCCTGAAAGGGTGTGTGTGTGCACATGTGTAACTGGTTTTCAAAACTCCAAGATAGCTTGTTCTGTCATTGTTACTTTTCCTTTCTTCTAACAGAAGAGCTAGAGAAGTATAGTTAGTGGAAGACCTCAGGTAATGAGTGATGCTCTTTTTTATCTTGGAGTGATGTCTTCACTATTATTCTAGGAATTGTTGGAGGTGGGTCTTATGCTGACCCCATCAGCTGCCAACTGGAATCTTTCAGACAAAAGGGAAAAACAAAGACCCAAACAAATACAAACTGTAGGGGACCCAAGGAGGGACTTTTCCAGTGTCCCTCCTTGGATGAT